TGCGCAGTGGTGGCCGAGTGGTTAAGGCGTTCGATTCCCGTTCCCATTGTGGTAACACAGCGTGGGTTCGAATCCCACCCACTGCAAACCCTTTTTGCTTTTTTTGGTTTATTGTGGGCGGGGTTTTGTCGTTATTAGAAGCGAAAATTGACGATTTCTTGAATTTTCATATAAAAAATACATTTTCTTTATTATTAGCCGATTTATTTTCACTTTTCTCAATCTTGGTAACCGGGCCACCATGGCCGAGGAATCCAACAATTCGGCCATCATCAAAAGGCTGATAAACGTCTAAAAACGAAGAAAAGTTTATGAAAATACATTTTTGTTGAAAAATCGCAAATTTCCGATTTAAAAATTCCATGTTTTCAGCGATTTTCAGATAGTTTTTTCAGCATATTTCAAGCTAAATATTGGCTAGATGCAGACCATTTTCACCTGAATATCGCGAATTTTCAGACTGTGAGAAGCCAATTTTCCTGGGTCATTTTACCGGCGATTTCGGACTGAAAATTTGCATTTTTAGTCATTTTTCACACGGAAATACGGTCATCAGATAGTTATTTTTGTTGGAATTTTACTTTTTAGTCATTTTCCAAAAAAATGGAATTTCTGGGCTGAAAAAAATTCTGGAATTTCTAATTTTTCAGGTCGGAATCTCTCGTCAAGAGTTGGCAACAATGCTCCAAGAAGACGAACTGCAAGGAGCGGTTCTTGCAGTTCTTGCCAACAAACAAGATATCGCCGGTTGTCTGACAGAGACAGAAGTCTACAAAGCGCTTGGCCTGGATGCCCTCCGCAATCGAACCATTCAAATATTCAAAACGTCCGCATCAAAAGGAGAGGGTCTCGACGCAGCGATGGATTGGTTGGCGAATCAGTTGCAGCAGAAGAAGTAGACGATTGCTCAGCCTTAATTTTTGACTATTTTTTGAGAAAAATGTGTGTAGTTTTATCCCCCTTTTTGTCTCCTGCAAAAAATACACGAGGTGTGTCTTTCCTCTTTTCCTTTTTCTCTCCTATAATTCTGTGATTTTTCCTCTTTCCATCCCTTTTCTAGTTAATTTCTATCCGCTTTTCCAGAATATTTGAACCCCCGAGAGCCTAATTTGTGGTTGTTTTATTGCCTTTTCTTTTGTAAAAAATCATCAGACCCAATTTTATTTATTCGAAAAAATCATGCATATTTTTATTTTATTTGTATAAAAAGTTATTTAAAAAGTCAATTATGGCGAATGTTGGAACGGGGCACGAAGCCGAGACCCAATTTGGCAAGTGACATGTTTTTTCGAAGATTCACGACGTGGAAATAGGAATCGCGCGGACCCGGCTTGATGAGTCCTTGCGACAAATATCGAATACATGTGAAGAAGTCACAAACGGCGGCAATCTGGAACTTTTGAATTTTTAGAAGGATTGGCGGCCTAGGATCCCAAATCTATGCCATCTGGTGCAGATGGCCTAAAATCACTTTCCAAGCAAAATAATTATATGAAAATTGGTGGCCTAGAAATACAAATAATGGGGGTATCTAGGCCAAGAGAAGGAGTTTCAAAATTTGGCCTAAGAATGCGAAAATTAGGGGTTTTATGCCACTTGAAAATTATAGAAACAGGTGGCCTAGAAATCCATGCTTGATGTTTGTAGGCCACTTGAAATTCTCCGCATCTAGAAGAGCTTTAAATTACACATATTCCCCAAAAAGAACCAAGTTTCTAGCTCATCTGGGGGCCGAGTTGTGATCTGGCGCCTGAAGAGACGCAGACAACTAGACACTCTCGCTGTCTGCGCCCTCCCACTCTCTTGCCGGTTTAACTTCAAATGCTTGTAACTCGGCTCCTAGCGCACCTAGAAATTTGATTCTTTATGGAGAATGTGTGATTTTTGAAGCTGTTCAAAAGTATAGCAAATTTTACAAAACGGAAAAACTTATTTTATTTTTTGAAACCGGAAAAAATCTCGGAAAATTTAATGTGAACAAAACCTGCTTCAAAAACTGTACACTTCCCAAAAAGTTTGACAATTCTAGCTCTTCTAGGAGCCGAGATATGATCGTTTGAAGTTACGACGTTAGGGACGCAGACAGCGATAGTATCTCGCTGTCTGGGTCTCTCGTTAAAACTTCAAACGCTTGTAACTTGGCTCCTAGAGTACCTAGAAATTTGATTATTTTTGAAAAAGATGTGATATTTCGAGCCTTTTGATTTTAAATGATTTAACTCACCCTATTCCTGGCTATCAATGACACAAAATGCCATTCAGATCCATCATCGCCAGTTCTAACTCGATACGGACAAAATCGATTGGCATTCGTTAGCGAACATATTCGAATCGACGGTTTTGTCTCATTCAATGGTTCCAGCTGAACTCGATTCTCTCGTATCGCCGTCATCACTTCAGAAGACAGTTCGGAATTCTCGAAAAGCATACAAGGTTCGACTTCTTCGATCAGAACACGATCAATGAACGGATGGGATTTGTCCGGATGTCCACTTGCTCTCCAAGATTCGAATTCCGAGAATAGAATCGGATCAATTTCCTCGACAGCGTCCGCTTCTTTTTGTTCTCGATCTTCTGGAGATTTTGTCGAATATGAAGACGTTGATGGAAGTGACGACGCCTTCTTTTTCTCCGAAACTTCTTTCTGTTTTTTCGAATTTGAAGATCCATTAAAAAGTTTGGAAAGTGTCGATTTGTGTTCTGGCGATGTGGTTTGCTTGAAATGGTTTTGTCCCATTCCGGGAGCACTTATTAATTCCTTCAGCGCACGAACTTCTGCCTGTAGAACCTCCACTTCTAATCGAGACTCGTTTAGAAGTTTCTCGGCTTTTTCCCGCCGTTCTTCAGCGTTGTTGACCATTTTGTAGGCTTCCTGGAAAAAATCAAAATTTAGGTTATTTAAAAAAAAATGTATTCCAGAGAATTCTGCTAGACTTTCGAATAGCTTCAAAAATCACACCTTCTCCAAAAAGAATCGAATTTCTAGAAGGTCTGGGAGCCGAGTTACGAGTGTTTGAAGTTTTAACGAGAGACCCAGACAGCTAAATACTATCGCTGTCTGCGTCTCTAACGTCGTAACTTCAAACGACCATATCTCGGCTCCCATAAGAGCTGAAACTGTCAAACTTCTCGGGAATCGTATGAAATTTTTCCAAGATTTTTCTGTACAGAAAATATAACTGGAAATTTAATTTTTTTAAATATTGCCAAACTTTTGGTAAGCTTAAAACATTCCACATTTTACAAGAAGGATCACATTTGTAGGGGCTCTGGGAGCCGAGTTACTTCTTGGAAAGTTTATGGAACTTTTCCAATATATTTCTGACTCAAAAATGAATCAAATTTTAATACAACACTTTTGATTTTTCAATTTTTTAAAGTTTTTAATTCAAAATAACCAGCTCAAAAAATTACACATTCTCCAAAAAGAATCAAAATTCTAGCTGCTCTGTGAGCCGAGTAACAAGCGTTCGTTTTAGCGAGAAACGCAGACAGCTAGACACTCTCGCTGTCTGCGTTTCTCTTGTCGTAAATTCAAACGAGTTTATCTCGGCTTTAAGAGGAGCTAAAATTGTCAGACTTTCTGGGAAGTGGATGAAATTTTTCCAAGATTTTTCTGGTAAAACGAAATTATGAACTGAAATTCAAAAATTTTGACTCTTCAACTTTATGTTTTTTGATCATATTCTTAATTCAAAACAATAAGCTCAAAAATCACATCTTCTCCAAAAAGAGTCGATTTTCTAGGTGCTCTCGGAGCCCAGTTACAAGCATTTGAAGATTAGACGGCGAGAGAGTAGGAGAGTGCAGGCAGTTAGAGTGTCTAGTTGTCTGCGTCTCTTCAGTCGCCAGACCACAACTCGGCCCCCAGATGAGCTAGAAACTTGATTCTTTTTGGAGAATATGTGAAAGTTAAAGCTCAACAAAACTCTCGAGAGACGCAGACAACGAGACACTCTCACTGTCTGCGTCTCTCATTTTTTATCGCTTGTTTATATGTTCATCCAGCTGTCTCTCACCTGAAACAACTTCTCTGTCAATTCCTGAACCTCTTCATCTACCGTCGTCTGAATCTGCGTCATTTTTTTGTCCTTTTCAGCCAGTGCTGTTCGTGTTGCACGGAGCTCCGCCTGCATTCGGAGCAATTCCTCTGCTCTCGGACTCATGAGCTCAGAATCTGACGACGTGGAAGCAGATGATGATGTTGTACTTCTGGCGGAGGCTCTGGAAATTTCACTCTAAAATTTTTATATTTTTAGGAATTTTCTTACCGAATCGAATCCTGTGGATCCAGTGACATTTCTAGATGAATCGGGTTTAGTACGGCGATGGCGTCCACCATTTTTGCATAGTTTTTTTTGTAGATTGGGACTTCTGAAATTCGTAAAATATTTAGAAGAAAAAAAAATTAGAAAAAAAAGTAAGATTGAACAAAAAAGAAATGAAGTTTATAGCTCATCTAGGACCCGAGAGTGCAGACAACGAGACATTCTAACTGTCTGGGTCTCTTCTACTCTCTCACTGTATTGTTATGACTGTATCTCGGCTCGAGTTTGAGCTAGATTTTCGATTCTTTCTGGAGTTTGTATAGTTTTTTGAGCTGAATTCGACTATTCTATTTTTGAAGAAAAGTTCCCAAAAAAACTCAGTTTTTTTTTTCAAAAAAAGTATGTCAAGTAAGAGGAAAAACAATGAAAAAAGATGATTTGTGAAGACGTCGGACGTCTTCTGAATACAAGAAGAAATCATCGTATCTTTGTGTTTTTTCTGATGATACGGCGACCGCCAATTGTATCGTAATACATGGAAAACGGGTTTTCCTGGTGATGTAAGAATAGCGAAAAGAAGAAGAAAAAGAAGAAGAAGAGGAGGGGTTCCAATAATCCCGAATGGATTATATTGGAAAAATGAGAAGGATAGAAGAAGAAGTGGAAGCATTTGAGAACTCGGGGTTCTGAGATTCCTAGATTTTGAGATTTTAAGATTCTAAGGTTCCAAAATAACGGAATACCAGGATTCCGAGATACTCAAAGATTCCGAAACTTCAAAACTCCAGAAACCCAGGATGATAAGATCTCAGGATGTTAAAATTCCGAAATTCCAAGATTTCGAAAGTTCAAAATTTTCAAAATTCCCAAATTCAGAGGTTCCTTTTCTAGTTTCTAAGATTCGTTGATTCTTGACTTCCGGGATACCAGGTTTTCAGAATTCTAGAATTCCGGAATTCAAAGGTTCTAAAATTTCGAAGTTTCAGAATTCCAGAATTTTTCAAAATTCTAAGATTTCACTTCTAACATCCTACAGTTCCAAATTTCTGAGATCCCAAGATTCCGGAGTTCCAGAATTCCAAAAATCCCGTATTTCGTTAAAAAAACGTAAATTTTCCAATAGTTCTAGACTCAAGGAGAAATTAAAGATTCCGAAAAAATCGGATCCGTTTTTTGGATGTTTTTTAGAAATTAACAAACAATGAAAATTTCTGAAATGACGTACGAAATTCAGATTCCGTTTTTCGAGCAAATTCGAGAATCTTAAAACTTTGAAATCTCGAAACATCTGAAGTCACAGAATCTCAGAATCTCATGATTAAAACCTCAAATTTCAGAATTTTCAGAATTTCAGAACTCCAGAATCACAAAATATCCGAACCATAGGATTTCAGAACTTCAGAATCTCAAAATTCTCAAATTCTGAATCTTCGCGGATTTCAGAATCACAAGAGCATCTCTTTTAAAAAAAAGTCAGATGATAGATTCTCATGAAAAACATGAGTTTTGAACTTTTGCCTGTCTTTTCTTAAACGAAAAAGAAGAAGAAAAAGAAGAGAAACCAGAGACAGTGGAGGATTGGATGACACATGGTGCATTCTTCGGAGGAGAAGCATCAGGAGAGAGAGAGAGAGAGAGAGAGAGAGAGAGAGAGAGAGAGAGAGAGAGAGAGGAAATAACAACAATAATAAACACAAAGATTGATTGAGGGGGAATGTATGGGTTTAGATTTGAAGTCATCTTTGAAACTTTCGAGAAGTTTCTCTCCGAAAAAATTCAAAAAAATCAAAGGTCTCAATTATTTTTCAAATTTCCCGCCGAATTTCAAACAAATAGGATTTTAAAAAGCGTTTTTTTTTAATTGCTCGAATTGGAAAATCAGGAAATTTAAATTTTGGCCGATATACAAAACAATCTGGAGAGTATTTCGAAACCTCAATTGTGAACATTTTTCAATATTTCAAACACTTCTAAACCAAACAAAATACCGTAAAACCTGTAACAGAAGGGCCTTCACACAGTCAAGTTTGAGCTCAATTATCTCAGCTCCAATGAGAGCTATCAAAAATATCTGATATTTGGGTATTGGTTTATGATCCAGATCATAATTTTCTTATTCGAATCTTTTGAACCAAATTTCAATCGTGGTTCGAGAGATGAGGTCTACGTCTAACATTGTGCACTTTGCTCGCTAATGGTCGTTGTTCGAGAGACCTTGGAGACATATGATCAAAGAAACACTTTTGAGTATGTGTCCGTTATCGAGAAAATCCTCGGCCGTTAGACAGTCCATTCGGAATTTTTAAATGTCTATTAAACATGCAATGTGTGACGTCTATAAATATAAAAACAGAATTGAAAAAAACCCAAAATTGGATAAGCAACGGTAGAGCGAAGTGAAAGTGACCACTATTTATTGAACAACCTAATAGATTGTGCCAATTAGAAATTCTTTTTTCTATTGAAATTGTACAATTCTGGTAAATGAGAAAACAAATGATGGTACAAAATCTCCGTGTAGTGACAAAGCTTCCCAAACTGAATGAGTCATTTTCAATCAGTTTGATGAGAACGAGGAGAGAGAGAGAGAGAGAGAGAGAGAGAGAGAGAGAACATAACAACAATAATAAACACAAAGATTGATTGAGGGGGAATGTATGGGTTTAGATTTGAAGGCATCTTTGAAACTTTCGAGAAGTTTCTCTCCGAAAAAATTCAAAAAAATCAAAGGTCTCAATTATTTTTCAAATTTCCCGCCGAATTTCGAACAAATTGGATTTAAAAAAGCGTATTTTAAAAATTGCTCGAATTGGAGAATCTGGAAATTTAAATTTTGGCCGATATCCAAAACAATCTGGAGAGATTTCTTGGCTCAAAGTTAAAAGTTGAGAGACCCTTCTACATATTACAGGTTTTGCGGTTTTGCGTATACTGTATCTTCCAAAATACCAAATAAGCTACAAGGAAATGGAAATATATTTTTTTTGTTGAAAAAAAAAATGTTTGTTCACCTTCCTACTGGTCAACAGAAACAGGAAAAAGAAGAAGAGAAAACATGGGAACTTTTTTTTTGAAAAAAGACGAACAGCTGACAGGAAATATAGAATCTTTGGTCAAATGAAATTTTAAAAACAATCTAATTTGGAGGCTCAGATTCTGATGAAATGGGTTCTGGGAATTCTAAGAGATTCTGAAATTTTGAGATTCTGAGATTCTGAGATTCTGAGATTCTGAGATTCTGAGATTCTGAGATTCTGAGATTCTGAGATTCTGAGATTCTGAGATTCTGAGATTCTGAGATTCTGAGATTCTGAGATTCTGAGATTCTGAGATTCTGAGATTTCTGATCCAAGAATCCAAGAATCCAAGAATCCAAGAATCCAAGAATCCAAGAATCCAAGATTCTGAAGTTCTAAGATTCTAAGACTTCTATAGAAACTTCTAAAATTCTAACTAATTTGAAATTCATTAGCTTCTTTTATAAAGGTCATAAAAGAAGAACCTTGAGATCTTCATCTATTCTTCTTTTTATGAATATCTGTCCTTGTACTTCAAGAAAAGGAGAACTAATTTCGAATAAAAGAGTAGAAAAGTTAGCTATTCATGAAGGTCTTCAGAAAAAAAAACGCAAAAAAAAGAAGAAAAAAAAACGGGGAGAAGAGTTTTTTGTGGGAAAAATGTAATCAAAGAAGTTGAGGAAAAGAAAAAAACGAAAAAAAAGAAGATCGAAATACGAATTTCTTGAATTTTTGGATTCAAAAATTTCAAAAATTCCAAAATTCAAAATTCAAAACTCCAAAACTTTTTTTTCTATTTGTGACCAAAAAAGCCGTTCCCACTCGCTCCTTTTTTCGATCCTAGACCTATTCAAAGTGAGAGAGTGTGGAATTTTGAGAGACGCAGAAAGACAGAGAGAAATGACCACAAAATAAACAGAGACGAGCCTGTTTTTGTACCTATTCGAACGGTTTTTGTTAGTTTTTGACCGGAAAAACTGACCAGAACTATTGGAAAAAGTATTTTTAGGAAAATCTTGGATTTTTGGAGTTTGGGAATCAGAATTATTGGAATTTGAGAATTTAATGATTTCGGAATTTTTGGATTTTAGAAGTCTAGGAATCTAAGAATCTTGGAATCCTTGAGCCCTGAAATTTCGGAATTTTGGGATTTGGAAAATTTGGAACTTCGGAACTTGGGAATGCCAGAAATCTTTAGAACCCTGGAATCCTAGTATTTCGGAACTTTGGAATTTTGAGATTCTGGATTTTTGGAATCCTGGGATTTCAGAATTTTGCAATTACGCAATTTCAAAATTTGAAATTTGGGATTCTTCGAATTCGATGTTTTGGGAATTTCGGGGTTTTTGAATTTTTTTTTTTGGAATTTCGGGATTTTTTAATTTAAGAATTTTGAAATTCCCGGAATCTCAAACTATCAGGATTCCGGAATTTCAAAATTTCAGAAATCAAGAACTACGGAATCTAAGAACTTCATAATCTCAGTATTTGAGAATTTCAAAATTTCAGAAGAATCTTGGAATTACTGGACTTATGGAATTTTGTAATCTCGGAACTTCGGAATCCCGGAACATCGGAAATTCAGAATTTCAAAATTTCAAAACTTCGGAATTCTAGAATTTAGGAATTTCAGAATCTTGGAAATTCGAGATTCTAGGGCTCTAAAATCCTGGAATCCTAGTTTCCAAGCCTCAAAGCTCAAATTCAGTGAACAATATGAAGAAAAGCGAAAACTGATAAAAAAGCAAAAGGAACAAGTTTGGTTACGGTTGGCTTGTTAATAGGGTCAAATTTTCTCTTTTTTTTCTAGAAGATTCTGCCCACGAAAATGATCAATTTCTCACCAAAAACCTCAAATGTTTACAATCTCCACCGAAGGGTCCAGACACCATGTGCTGCCACGTCATCTGACCCCGAAAGAAAAGTGGGCGTGGCTTATTTAGGGGAGCCAATTTGGAAAAGTAAACAGAAGAAGAAGAAGAAGACGAAGAAAATCGAATTCTTGAAAAGAGAGAGAGAAGGAAATTCGAAAAACTTTTTGGGGGAAGAATAGGAAAAGAAGAAAAAGAAGGAGATCCAAAATGGGGCAGAAAGGGAAGGAAGAGCACCGAAACGTGTCTGGCGTCTCTGGAATTCTCACACTATCCCCTCTAAATATTTTCGATCGAACAGATGGGTTCTTCTCTTCTCCGGAAACACCAAAAGAAAGAGAGAAGGAGGAAGAATCTCTAAACAAATCGAAGAAAATGACGAAACACATCTTCGAGATATGATGCCACGGAGATTATCTGAAATGCATAGAAAAGAGAAAAAAGCGAAAGTTTTTCGTTCATTTTATACCCATGGGAGGTATGGGTGATCCATTAGTACTAGAGAAAGTGAAACAAGAGGAGATTGAACACTGACCAACTTATAGGAAAAAATATTATTTTGGGTTTTCGAAACTACAGAAATTGAGACTTCGAAAAGTCTGAAACTCCGGAAAATTACTTTTCTACAAAACTCCATCAGGGCTTTATGGAGTTCTGGAATCTCATAAATATGACATTCTGAATTCTCGGAATCCTGGAATCTCGGAATTTTGGAATTTCAGAGTCATGGAATCTTAGAATCTTATAACCCTGTATTCCTGGGTTGCTGAAATCTTGGAGTTTTGAAAAATCATGAATCCTATTATTTCGGAACTCCGGAACCTGATCTGAATAAATCTGAAACCCGAATATTTCAGTTTTAGCTCTGCTCCAAAGAGAAAGCTAGAGTTATCGAACTTTCTAGAAATTTTGTATGTATGTTCCGAGAAAAATAAAAACAAAAATGATTGTGCCAATTAGAGAGCCATTTATGGAAATGCCATAAAAACAAAAACAGTATGAAAACGATTTTCTAACAAACAAGGGAAAATCTGTGAGACTCATAAGAATGCAGAAATTGTGTATCTTTCCGAAAATTAGATTTCACTTCTCAAGAGGAGAGGATCCCATTATTACGGAAGACAGATGGTAATGCAAATTTCCTCATTTCCTCTCTCTCTCTCTCTCTCCTCTTTCTCATCAAACTGATTGAAAATGACTCATTCAGTTTGGGAAGATTTGTCACTACACGGAGGTTTTGTACCATCATTTGTTTTCTCATTTACCAGAATTGTACAATTTCAATAGAAAAAAGAATTTCTAATTGGCACAATTTGTGAAAATGAGCCTTGTTTTCAGACTCTTCCAGAATTTTCTCAACAAAAACGATTTACAGAAAATGCTGAAAGTAGGAAATCGCTGGAAAGAATCTTGAATTCATGAAAAATCGATTTTTTGGATACCCTTAAATTTCGAAGATATTCTGAACTTCAATTCAAGGGGTATTCAATTAGAGGAACCCAGGTTTTTTGAATTTAAATTTTTAACATCAAATATAAGTGCCATTTTAACTTTGAGCTTAATTATCTCATTTCTGTCAAAGATACCAGAAAAGTGTCAACTGACATAATGTTTATCTTATTATCAACAATATTTTATTAGTTGACAACTTTTTGATATCTCTTACAGTAACACAGATAAATTCAGTCAAAACTACGGTTTATGAGATCCAAGATTTTTGTCGTTTAAACCACAAAAATCGCTTAATTTCTGAACTCCTTTACAACAAGAAACAACAAAAAACATGTGACTCTTTTTAAACTGAACATGACAAATGACTGAGAACCTTTTTGGGGGTATGGACCCAACCTTGTTCCTTCATAAAAATTCCATTCCCATGAGAGAGACAAAAAGAGGTCTGAAAAAGAACTGGTCGAGTGAAGTGGAAACAATTTTTACGAGGAGTTGACGGACGGAAAAAAAGGAAAAGAGACATATAAAATTCTCACCAGTTTCGGAGGTTTTTACCTACTTTTCCGGTGAATTATATAGTTTTGGGAACAGAACACATAGAAACTTTTGGAAAATCAAAAGTTCGTGAATAGAGAATTTGAGAATCCAAGAATTTTAGAAGTTAGAACCTCGGAATCTCGGAATCCTGAAAACTAGGAATATCGGGATTTTGAAAATTCCAATCTTCCAAATTTTGGCATATTAGAAACCTGGATATCTTGAAATGTTAGAGAAACGAAACCTGGGAACTCCTGGATTTTGAAATGGAATCTTTTTGGAATCTTAAAATTCTAGAATCATACACTCCTGGATTCCTGGAATTTTGAAATTTTGGAATCCCTAAAAATCTTAGAACCGGAACTCTAGTATTTCTGAAATCCTGGATTTCTAAAATTCTGGTTTCATAGAGTTATGAATCTCTGCAATCAGGAATCCCGAAATTCCCAAAAAGCTGAAACCCTCAATAATAGCCAAAAAATCCAAAGAATCCAAAAAATTATAATTCCAACAAAACCTAGAAAAATCCTAAAAATCTGAAAATTCTAAAAAAAGCTGAAAAGCTAAAAAATCCTAAAAATCTTTTGAAACATTTAAAATCTTTGACTTCTTTAAAACATTATTAATCTCAAGAATCTCTGAAATTCCGAAACTCTAAAAATATTCAAAAAATCCAACCGAAAAAATCCGAATTCCAATAAATCTGAAAAATCCAAAAAGTTGAAAAACACCAACTTTCGAGATTTCCAAAACTTTCAATGTTAAAAACTCAGGAATAATGGATTTCTGAATTTCCGAAAATGTGAAATTCTTTTAAAAATCTAAAATTTCAGCACAATAGATAACTTTCTTGAATTTTAGACAAAATCGGAAACGATGCTCCAAAATTTCTAAAAATAAAATATTTCCAACTAACGTCATCTGTGAGCCAGACGACGTTGAGAGTGAGAAAAAGAAAGTAATTCTGAAGGAGGAAAAGAAGGAAAGGATTCACTAATGATGAGTGAAGTAGTCGTAGTAGTATTCAGAATAAAGAAGAAGAAGAAGAAGAGAAAATTGAAAAATAGGGGAAAAAGAAGAAGAAGAGGATGGGACCATGAGAAATGGAAAAGGGAAAATAGAGGAAAAGAAGAGCCTAAAAATAAATTAGCACTGAAAGAAGAAAGAGAAGAAAAAACTAGAAAAAAAAGAGAAGATTTCGGAGGAAAAGAGAGATTTCGAATTGTTTCCAAAACAGATTGCAGACAAGCTTATTGGTAAAAGTCAATACTAAGTAAATATAAATATCCAATTTTTTAGACTTCGCTTTCGACTGCATTGGAATTTACCTTCCCGATGACCTACTGCATGGTCCTATTGATCCATCGCACCCGTGAGAATATCAGTATTGTTTTCAATCAAATGCCAATGTTTCAGTTTTCTTGATGAGCTAGATGATGATTGCGATGCCACAAAAGAAGTCGAGAGACGTCGAGCCGAGCGTGAATTAGTCTCACAGACTATGCAATCAGCGATTGGTCACATGTTGTCAGTTTAATATATTAACCAAATCCATACGAACTTTGTTTTTAGGAACTACATTCGAGATTATCATCTTGATATTCGTACCGGTTCACTGGAGAGTTGTAAGGTTTGTTTTGACTGCTGCTTTGCTTATAAAATGACTTCAACTTCAGAACCGAAAAACCTGTGAAAACCATCTATCATGGAAAGACGTCAAAATATTCAGAGAAAAGTGTCGTGCTGAAAACAAAAATCCAGACGACTTTGAGCCGGCAGATCTCATTGGATTGTAAGCAACAATATAATCAATACAATTACTTTTGCATTTTTTTCAGAGCACTAAAGTGACTACTACTGCCTAGTGAAGACTACAAGTGACGACTTCACATCATGATTCAACTTTCATCTAACACACAATCATTGTTTTTTCTTTTTTGTTGTTCGCTTCATTATTTTTTTCTTCTGTCCGCTATTGGATTTTTTAAAAATTCCTATTTACCAAATTGATTTGGACAGAATTTTCAGATTTTTTTAGAGCCCACGGATCGATTTCGTGTGAGCGACGCGTAACTTGCGCGTAGGTTTGGCGTCTTTTGGGCGGTCGCTGGGCGGCTTCTACAGAAAACTAAAGCGACATCCGCCATGACGCAGCTTAGAAGCCGCTTTAATCCAGCCCAAAAGTTGCGGGCAACAGCCGAGAAAGTAGAAATTTCAAAATCTCTGTGTTCAAAAAATTGGAAAAATTCAGAATTTCAGTTATTTAAAGAATTCAAAAATATTTCTGAAGGGTGACATCAAAACGCTATAGCGGAAACAAGTAGCGACAGCTATATAGAAAATTGAGAAAACGTTGGGAGGGTTCCGTTATTCGGGGTAGAAAACAGAGGAAAAATTTATTGGTGGAACTTTATACTGGTTCTAGAAGTTACTGAGAATCTGAGATTCTGAGATTCTGAGATTCTGAGATTCTGAGATTCTGAGATTCTGAGATTCTGAGATTCTGAGATTCTGAGATTCTGAGATTCTGAGATTCTGAGATTCTGAGATTCTGAGATTCTGAGATTCTGAGATTCTGAGATTCTGAGATTCTGAGATTCTGAGATTCTGAGATTCTGAGATTCTGAGATTCTGAGATTCTGAGATTCTGAGATTCTGAGATTCTGAGATTCTGAGATTCTGAGATTCTGAGATTCTGAGATTCTGAGATTCTGAGATTCTGAGATTCTGAGATTCTGAGATTCTGAGATTCTGAGATTCTGAGATTCTGAGATTCTGAGATTCTGAGATTCTGAGATTCTGAGATTCTGAGATTCTGAGATTCTGAGATTCTGAGATTCTGAGATTCTGAGATTCTGAGATTCTGAAATTCTGAGATTCTGAGATTCTGAGATTCTGAGATTCTGAGATTCTGAGATTCTGAGATTCTGAAATTCTGAAATTCTGAAATTCTGAAATTCTGAAATTCTGAAATTCTGAGATTCTGAAATTCTGAAATTCTGAAATTCTGAAATTCTGAGATTCTGAGATTCTGAGATTCTGAGATTTTGAGAAATGAGTTTTATTATCCTTGTGTTTTTAAACGATATCTCAATTTGCTAAATTTGAAGCAAAAGTTGAAACCTCGAAAAATCGAGAATTTAAGAATCTCTCTGAACCACAGGTCCTTTAAAATCTAAGAATCTCAAACAACTAAAAAAATAGAGATCACGCAAAGACACTGGCCATCCAATTGATAAGGAAAATCAAAAATGGAACACCTAGTCGTCTTCTACGCTAACTGATAAGCGTCCTACCCCCACCTTTATCCCAATATTTGCTCTTTTTCTTTTCTCTGCGTCTCCTTATCTCTCTTAACCCGTTCCATTCGTCTTTTGACACCCAGTCACTTTGGCACTGCCGACGGGTGTTTCAGGCTAGTTTTCCGGAAATTTCAAAAAAAAACGGAAAGTTTTGAACGGGGAAAGTTTGAAAGATGGAGGATTAAATGTCATATTTGATTTCGAATTTTAGTTAACAGGGCACATGGTTAGGATATCAGGGATAACGGTAGGTAGAGTCTAGTTCTGAGATTCTCAAATCTAGTCAAGTTTTATATCATTTTGTAGAGCTCGATAAGCCCTTAATTGTGCATAAAGTTTGAATCAGAAACTTTCAAAAATTAAACTCCAATTCAAAAGCTTCCTTATCCTCTTCACCCTTCTTCACCTCTTCTCCTTTGATCTCTTTCCTCATTGTATCCCTATTACCCCTCAATTACTATCGGCTGTAAATCATAGTTAACTAATGAGTCATAACCGGAAAGCAACCAATACAGTATTCTTTTGTCTTCCGTTTTGAGGGCCTCTACACATAGTTTATGGTTATTACTGTAGTGAGACTGGATGAGGTGAAGAGGTGCAAAATTTGAATTGCTGGGAACACGGTAGAACCTAGAATGGAGGGAATTCGATAGAACCTAGAATAAAGAGAATACGGTAGAATCTAGAATAGAAGAGTTTGCAAGCTGTCAGCTTCAACCGAAACTATCTTGGTTCCTGTGAGTCATATCAAAAAATGAACAACTGACAAAAATTTTATCATAATATCAGCAACATTTTATCAGTTGAGTGTTTTATGGTATTAATCACAGAAAACGAAAAATTTTGACTAAAAATAGAAAAGTAGCTGCCCTTCTATTGCAGTTTTGGAATGAAGAAAAACTGTCAGATTGAAAACCGTGGCTTTCTGATTACGGTACTTTTGAGGTAGGCAGGCGGCCTCGCTAGATTTTTTAGGTCTTTTGATCTCGAAAAATCTATGAGCCTGGAAAAAAGACAAGCGCCTTGGAAGATTTCTAGCAATTCTGAATACCCTCTAGAAAATTACAAGCTAGAAATCCTAGCTTAAAAGTTAAATTTCTAGGAATTCTGACTAAAATGTAGTTCTGAGGATCCGAAGGTTTTGTACTTTGGAATATACGAATTAAAGACAAAATCACAACTTCGGAGAGTTTCAGATTCTCAACATCCGTAGTTCTAATTTTGAACGAGCAGGAATTGTTGGAATCTTCAAACAATTTTTGATTCTTGAAGTTACCAATTCTTCAGAAATTCGATCTCAAAATCTCGGAATCTCAAAATCTCGGAATCTCAAAATCTCGGAATCTCAAAATCTCAGTAACTTCTAGAACCAGCATAAAGTTCCGTCAAAAAATATATTCTTTGCTTTCTACCCTAAAGAACGGGATCCTCCTAACGCTCGCCCAATTTTCTGTATAGCTGTCGCGAATTTCAGAATTTCAGAATTTCAGAATTTCAGAATTTCAGAATTTCAGAATTTCAGAATTTCAGAATTTCAGAATTTCAGAATTTCAGAATTTCAGAATTTCAGAATTTCAGAATTTCAGAATTTCAGAATTTCAGAATTTCAGAATTTCAGAATTTCAGAATTTCAGAATTTCAGAATTTCAGAATTTCAGAATTTCAGAATTTCAGAATTTCAGAATTTCAGAATTTCAGAATTTCAGAATTTCAGAATTTCAGAATTTCAGAATTTCAGAATTTCAGAATTTCAGAATTTCAGAATTTCAGAATCTCAGAATCTCAGAATCTCAGAATCTCAGAATCTCAGAATCTCAGAATCTCAGAATCTCAGAATCTCAGAATCTCAGAATCTCAGAATCTCAGAATCTCAGAATCTCAGAATCTCAGAATCTCAGAATCTCAGAATCTCAGAATCTCAGAATCTCAGAATCTCAGAATCTCAGAATCTCAGAATCTCAGAATCTCAGAATCTCAGAATCTCAGAATCTCAGAATCTCAGAATCTCAGAATCTCAGAATCTCAGAATCTCAGAATCTCAGAATCTCAGAATCTCAGAATCTCAGAATCTCAGAATCTCAGAATCTCAGAATCTCAGAATCTCAGAATCTCAGATTCTCAGTAACTTCTAGAACCAGTATAAAGTTCCGTCAAAAAATATATTCTTTGCTTTCTACCCTAAAGAACGGGATCCTCCCAACGCTCGCCCAATTTTCTGTATAGCTGTCGCTGCTTGTTTCCGCTATGGCATTTTGATGTCACCCTTCAGAAATATTTTTGAATTTTTTTCAATTTCCGAAGAAAATTTTTTTATATCAGAAATACACTCTTCGAGACCCCAGATTCAATTAGCGTTAAATTTCCGAAGAAAGGACGGAACTACAGTACCCTTCAAGACCCTAAATTTCGTTTTTGGATGCTTCAATTAGCCTTCTTCACATCATCTTAATTCACACCACCTTTTGAGGTCTCTTCTGACGACGTGGAATGACCGATGACACTGATGGGCAAATCAGGTTAACAGGCTAACTATTATACAGGAAAAACAGATCCATCATACATAAAACAAGGGGAATCGGACAGTTCTTTTTGACGATTCCAATTCTCACATAGTTGTTTTGGTATTCGATGTGTAATGCTGTGTTATGCTAACTATAATTGAGATGGGTAGCACTATGCAAAAGATTGGCAACGTGAAGACGCTCAGAGTCCTTTGGAGGGCCCAAAATATCTAGAATGTTCTCTCTTGGAAATTAGGGGACCGTTTCGCCGATTTTCGATACAAAAAGAGAAGAGAATTAACGAGAAATTGTTTAAAAAAACTGGAAAAACTTTAGCGAAAAATGTGCAATTTTTGCGAATTTCAGCACTTCTTCGATTGGAATTTTTTCGAAACTTTTGTTTAAATAAAGTTATAGGCTTAGGCTGAAACGCTTTTTTTCTTGCAATGGTTCAAAAAGGCGTTAGTTTCAGCCAAGAATATATTTTCATAGATCAAAGGGAACATTTTCCTTTTTTCTCAAAGATTTTGTTGAGAATTTGAAATTTCAGCTTTAAAATGTTCAATTTTATCGCTAAAAATCGATCTTTTTATCAATTTTCAGGAAAATTCTTCGATTTTTTACAAAACAATATTTTTAAAACCCCCCACCTAAAAATGCCGGGCATCGCCACGAATTCATGAAACTTCCTGAATACTCTCATGTCCCTTTAATACCGTAACCCATTCATTCGAATTTTTTGCACAAAGTTGTCGTTTTTTTGCGGTTTTCGCTGAATTACAAAATATCTATGATTGAAATGTCCCATACATTTTATTACAAGTCGATTTTTCATCAGAAAGATCCTTCTGAAAGTGTCAGGCGTCGCCACGAAGCGACAAACTTTCATTAAGAATCGTCATGCTCCTTCAAAATACCGTAATCCATTTACAGCGGGAAATTCAATTTTTACTGGCTAATACCAGTTTTCATTCGAATTATCCCATTTTTTATGATAATTTTCATTATTTTCCAGTCTTTTTCATATTTTTCCAGTCTTTTTCAGTCCTCTCCCCCTATCTTTCGCGCGCACTCTTTTTCTCTGCGGGTCTCCCCTCTCTCTTGCCACGCCTTCAAGACAGTCCTAAGGGGCGGAGCCTCACTCAAGCCCGCCCACCACCTCCCTTCCCCGGAAATCCCAATTTCCGACATCTCATTCTCATTCGACATCGCTCTCTGAAACATGTCGTTCGATTCTTCTCTTCACACCGACTATTCTCAGCACTATTCAATGCCAGCTTCGGACGCTCCGTCGACGTCGACACCATCCAGAAAGCGTCAAGCGCCACGTGGCGATATGGAGAACCAGCCAAAGTACACACTTTTAGAGTCTGCAGGGGCTAAAGCTCATGCGCCGCCACCTCAACAATATGCACCAGAAAATGGCTATATGATGTATAATGTAAGTTTTAAAACGGAAAAAGACGTCTAAAGCCCTTCAAGCTCTTTCAGGATCACTTCTATCACAACTACAACAACTTCTATATGCCCTTGGATCATCAAAATCAATACTTCATGGCGCCGCCAGCTCGTGAAGTTACTCCACCAATGGCGGCACAACAAACCGTACCACAACACTCAACGCCAACAGAGCCAGCCGCTGGAAGCATGATGTACACTCCAGAATCCCTTCAGAATACACCAGTGGCTTATGAGCAGGTTTCAGTGGTCCCTCCAGCTCCAGATACTTATCAGATGTCTCGTGACACATATCGTCAAGCGAACTCAGAAGCCGCAGTTGTCCCAGCCACCACCACCACTAAAAAATTCGTCAAAAAAGCCCCAAAATCTGAGCCATTCCTATTGCACCTGTGGGGACTCAAAATTCCCGCCGGCTCCGCTCATGGAAATGCGCCTCAGATCTTCCCGACATTCTCCATTGATCACCCGTTGAATGATTCACAAATCATTGTCCAAGAAGTCGATGGACGTCTTCCGATTGTCGGGTCCCGGTCGAAGATGAGTTTGACGGTTGGCGAGTTGAGACGGAGAGTTGGGGCGCCGGAGAATATGAATATGAGTGCGATGTATGCGTATTTCAGAAAGTGAGTTTGGGGAATTTTTTGAAAATTTCGAGTTTTTACAATTTTTGAAGTTTCGAAAAATTTAAAGTTCAAAAATGTAAAAATCCGATTTTATGTGAAAATTCAGGAAAAATTCAAATATTTTCGAAACTTCAGATTTTTAAAAATTTTTTCATTTTTCGGGTTTTTTTGAAAATTTGGAATGTTTGGTTTTCGAATTTTCGAAAAATTTGAACTTTTCAAATTCAAATTTTTCAGAATTTTCGATTTTCAGAAATTTTTAGCAAATTAAAAACAAAAGTCTGCGAAAATCTAATTTTTCAGCACAATTTTAGGAAAAATGTGAATTTTCGAAAATATAGAAAATTCACAACTTTTTCGCAAATTGCAAAAGCTGGAAATTTTCGGAATTTCAAAAATTTGAAATTTTTGGATTTTTGAAATTTCGAATTTAATAAATTTTTGATTTTTTGGAATTCTGGGGCCTTCAGTTAACCAGAAACTTGAGACATTTTATTTCCGGAATTTCGAAAATTCTCAAAAATTGCAAAAATTTGATTTTTATGATTCTTGGAAAAAAAAATTCGAACAAATTTTCTGGGGTTTTGGAGACTTTAATTCGAATTTCGGAATTTAAAAAATTGCGAAAATGAAAGAAAACTTAAATTTTCGAGAAAAAAACTAGGTTTCAACAGTTAAAAATGGCTGAAAATTTGTAATTTTTTGGCGAATTTCGATGTGTTTTGGAAGATTTGAAAGTTTTTGAATTTTAAGATTTTTTGAAAATTTCCATTTTTTTTTCAAATTCCGATTTTCAGCAAGGAATTCAATGCTGAGAAGTTTAGGCCTACAACTGAGTTTTCAGCGAAAACCATTACTTGTAAAATTCCGGGCCGGGCCTGAGGAAGTTTTCAAGGCCCGGGCCCGGCCCGGAAGGCCCGGTGTCAAAAATTCTGTATTTTTGAGCCAAATTTTGAGCTCTCAATATAATTTTTTCCTTTTTTTTCGTATTTCGGATTGTTTGTCTGTCTGATCAAAAAAGATCGAAAAACTCGAAAAAAATTTTTTGGTCAAAAAAAATCACATAAGGGTCCCCCCTTATGTGTTTTTTAAAAATTTCGAAACTAGTGAAATGACGGGCCCGGCCCGTTAAAAGTATGATTATTTCGAAAATTTTTTCAATTCCAATTTTTGTTCCAGATCCAAAAAAAAGGAAACCATGCAGCAAGTCAAGGAAATTCTCGAGCGACACCAAATCGACATTCCCCACATGCAGCGCAAACGAAAGTTCTCCCGCTTCACCCCAATGCTCGAGGAGGAGTGCTCACGATTGGCAGAGGATTTGTCAAAGCTCTACGAAAAGTATTTGCCAGAAGCTACACTTGCAGAGCAGATGGTTATGGATATGCTCGGAAAAGGATGTACACTTGATAAGTGTCTTCGATTCCTGGAGAATACAAAGTAAGTGTTGGAAGAGCTTTTTCTAGGCCATTTTTCCAAAAAAAGTCATTTTTCAAAATATTTTTTTCCAGAAAAATCATGGGAAAAATCGTCAACACCCTGGAATCCCGTCAACCAGCTCTCACTTATCACGAAGAGAAGCTTAAGAACAATCGCCTCGACGTCTTCTATCACGTATTCTCCCTCCTCACACACGGATTCGGCCACCCCGTCTCGATTCTTCACTACCGACACTACCATAAGATCGTTGTCTCTGCTATCGAAATTGCCCAAAATATGATCTCGGGAACTTATAATCTGACGTTTGAAGATGCCGGAACTGCCAAGCCATTCGCTGTGATGAGTGATGCAAAGTGGGCGGAGCAATGCGCGAGAAAACAAGCTGCCGTACTCGCTCAAGCCTATAATAATGTACCAGTCTGAAGCTAAATTAGCTAAACTAATTTTAAATCAATGATTTTTAACGAATTTATGTTTTTTTTCGGTTCTCTTCCCATCTCACGATTGTCCAATGCTTTTAAAACTACTCGTTCTCTTTCAGTCACTTAATTTTTAATTATTCACAATTTTTACCGGAAAGTCAATAAATAATCAGTTATAATAATTAAAGCTTATGGATAATAAAAGCTAACGAAACCCGAAAATATGACATGAGCCATATCGTACACGACTTTGGGAGAATACACAGACCATACAAACAAATGATTTTGGAAATGATAAAGACAGATTAAAGAGATGGCTAGGGAGAAGATTCGGTAGGAGAAGAAGAGGCGGAGCCAAGATGTTGATGGGGAGAGAAATGGTGGAGGATCTCTGTAAATTTCAAGTTTTTTTTGGAGAAAAAGATCTGAAAATTTGCTTAAACTTGGAAAAAATTGAATTTGTCTCCAAAAATTAGTTACTTCAGATGCAGCGCGGTCGCGTCGCGGGAATAAAACTTCAGACGGCGCGACGAGATTCCCATAGGCTTTCCATGACGGGCGGGTAGCGAACGGGTAGCTGCTACCCGCCCGCTTGCTACCCTGAACTTTTTGTGTTTGCAGACAATGCGCGAAATTTGCCGACACTTCGATTAAATTTTTTCAAATTATTTGTTGACAATTTTTGTCGCTTATTGGTGTAGAAAATAGCTTTAAAGTGAAAATAAAAATAATTCAGGTATGAAAGTTCATCAGCCAGTGGAAATGGACGAATTTGTTTTGGAAAGAAACGTTTTCTAGTTTTCCATCGTTTTCGATCAATTTCCGGTCAATTTTTGGTTTTTTAAAAACTATAATTTGTCTTAAAGTTGATGAAAATTACCTAAAACTTAGCTAAAATCTCAGAAAAGCCAATAAAATTTGTAAAATTCAAGCTTCCCTCCGAAATTTGAAAAATTTAAGTGCGGCGCGGTCGCGTCGCGGCTTCTCCATTTCAGACGGCGCGATGGGCTTTCCATCGTTTTTCGATCAATTTTCTGTCAACTATTATTTCTTCCGGCACGCTCTCCCACAGAACATTTCCCAACTGCAAATTAATTTTTGATCTACAGAAAAACAAGTTTGGCGCGATCACAATTGCAGGTCTAAAATTATAATTTCAGAATTTTTTATCTGATTTTGTGGAGTTCCAAGAGGATTCAAATGATTCTTAAAAAACTAATTAGTGGTTATAGATTCGTGTATGGTCCTTTTCCGGAAGAAAAAATGTCAAAAATGGTCATTTTTGAAAGTTTTTTACAGAAAAAATCTCTAGGAGTTCTATAGCTCAAAGAAACCGCAATTATTTTCTCCACATTTTGTATGGACGAATTTTTAATTCGTCTGATAAAACTTTTTTATAATCAAAAAACAACGCAGAAATGCGATTTTGTGCAATTTCATGAGGTTT